TTTTTTGCTCCATTGGTGAAGTAATACAGAATATTTCATCTTGTGGGTTTTTCTGTTGTTGGGAATCTTTTGCTGTTTCTTTCTGCAGTAAATATTTTGGTTTTAAAGAAATTTTTCATCTTTTATTTTCCAGTTCCCTGTTGTGCGTCGTTTAATAAACATCCAAGTTTGATCATGTGAGAAAACCAAAATTTAATGTCAGTATTTAACACAGCTGACACAAAATATTACAGTTTAATTTAAAATTCTACATATTATAACAAACCTAGTCCATTATGTTATAAAAAGACAGTCAATCAGATCATCAATCAACTTTAATATTACTTCTTAATCGATAACTTGCATCTCAAACTGCAAAACAAAGTGCAACTTGGTGTCAAGTTTAACTTGAACCTTTTAAAAGCCGATTTCTACTTTTTTATTATTCTCTTGATTATTTTTTCTCGATAAAACACATCGTTGGGAGAAGTGATTAAGTTTCTACGTTAATCCTGACAGGAACAAAAACAGAGCTGGAAATTTTCCCTCCAACTGAACATTTTTCACAGTTTTAGTTAAAGTGTATATAAAAAATACTTTTAGTTTTCTAGTAAATGCATCAGTAAAATTCTAACATTTTCTATGCAAGTTCTCAAACTTTGGAGAAACACAGACAATCGAAAAAGTAAAAAGAAACGGCTTCGACTCACGATTAAGTGATATTCATTACTATAAATGATAAATTGTGATTGTATTCAACATTCTGCAGCACAGAAAATGTAAAGTAAAATATACAGCACTGCAGGAGTCAGTGTGTTTAAATATATACACACCTGGATGGTCTGAAAACAAAACTTAGCAAAAGAAATGATCAATTTCGATAACTTTAAGTATGAAATATGATTCAAATTACACAGATCAATAGGTCAGAGATATTATGGACAATAAATATTCATTACAATGAAACAAAAACAATGCTGCTCAAATTAAATGTTTAAACATATTTATTTACCAAGAAACTTATAAAATAAAAAAATATTCTCCCAAACTCTTCTGGCATTTAGTAAATATAATGAATTTGGGTAATTTAACCGAGCTAAAACAAGAAAAGTTTAGTCTGATTGAACTGTATTTTTATTTTTCTGTTAACTGTATGTAAACTTCTGGTTTAAATGTTAATGACATTTTAAAATTTAGGTTTTCAAGGACTTTTTATACAGAAATTAACTTTCCAAACCTTGAAAACTCCTCAGTGAAAATCAGGCACCTGTATGAACCGGTTTAATTTTTTTCTCTCTGAGGGTAAAAGGGATGAATAAAGTTTCCATCTATCCATCTATGTCACATATTCCAGTTTATCTGATAAGATGAGCTGCACAGAAACAACCTGACAGCTGTTCAGCCTTTCCAAACACGCCCTCCTGATGAGGAGCCAGGCAGAGAAATCACAGGTCAAAGGTTAAGTACAGACACTGTCCAAATCAGAGGGGTCAACTGACAGGCAGGGAAAATGACAGGCTTAATGACTAGCTGCTGCGGCTAATGACCGCCGAGACACACACACACACACACACACACACACACACACACACACACACACACACACACACACACACACACACACAGGTGCAGCCACACTTTGCTCACAGATTACAGATGAAATCAAGCCCCAGCCACTCCTGCTCAATGAGCTCTAATTGGTTCCTGAGCAGCTCAAGTCCCGCCCACTACTTTACCAGCCCATTAGAAGTTATTAGAGGGGTTCCTCAGGGAGCGGTACGGGTCACAACACATGGCTAAGCTAGCTGGGAGTAATAACCCAGCAGCTTTAATAGAGCAGTCATCTTCACAGCGGCAGGGAGGAACTGAAGACGAAGCAGCCGGACAGAAAAATGATTTATGGCGCTTTAAGATTGGCTTAATGTAGGATTATTGTAGATCTGCAGCCGCATGCAGCTCTAAAATTAAAAAATATAGACAAAACAAATGTGTTTTTTTCTTTCATGGAATAATTGCATTGAAGTTCTCCAACAGAATGTGACTAAAATGACCAAATAAATGTTTTTAAATCTATTTTTCCTGTAGCTGCGTTTCCATTCACCATATAATTGAGCAAATTAACATCTCAAAAATGTATTTGCTGAATGGAAAGAAGCCAGTTTCGGAAATGCTCACGTTTTGATAAAAGGTTTTTGGCCGTATTGAAACTGGTTTATTTCACAAAACTGCGATGGAAATGCTTTTTTCACATCACATGATTAACAACAGGATGTTACTACTGGCAGAAACCACAAAGAAAAAGACAGGAAGTAGTGGACGGCTCATGGTGGGAACGCTTTCTCATGACTTATCATGTGCACAAACTCATTCATATGATTTTATATACACTAATTTAAAGGAAACATTGTAATTACAAAAATATGTTTTTGGACATTTGTGGAAAACTGACAAAGTTCTGGGCAGATTTGTAATAGATTCTCAGCTACTGTGTTTACAGATGGACTGTTGTGCTTCCTGGAACAGATTAGGCTCCAACTATGTGCCACGCAAAACACATTCATTGCATTTATTTAAAAAAATAAACAAATGATAAAATCTTAGAGCAGTGCCTGCTGATTTTCCAGACACCAAAAAACATAAAGACCACGCACAGTTTTGCATATGTCTCCCAAATTGGTAAAAATAATAAACAAACTAACATTTTCGAACAAAATGCATTGAATTTTCACAACAAAATGTTACAAAAAATCCCTGCAACATGTTTTCAATTTGATTTTTTTTGTCATTGTCTTTAGTATTTTCCACAAAACCAACATATATATTCATCCTGTTGCGCTGCAAAAAAAATCTTACCAAGTATTGACAGTCGACAAGACAAAATTATCTTACAAATAACTTTTCAGGAAGATGCAGCAGCTTGTTGCAAGTCAATAAATCCTTAATATTGATGAAAAAGCTCCAGTTCTACTTGAAGATTATTTCACTTATAAACAAAGACTTGAGATCTTTTAACTGAGTCAGTTTGCAGTATTAAGTAAGTGAATATGTTTAAATCTTGTTTTCGACGTTAGCTGACGGCTCACAGACACACCTGTGATTGGCTTGGGCTTCAGCGGCTTGTTGGGAACAGTCAAAGCAACGGTGCATGCCATGTGACTAAGTGAGTGAGACGGCGTGGCTGTGTCTGCTGACGTGTTGCGGTTCGGAGATAACTCATTACTCATTCTGCCAAATCACTTTGTTCTGGTGCAAATTCTGACATTTTAATGTGCCAACTGAGAAATCAGCTCACGGGAAAGCTGCGTGCTAGTTTGTTGTTCACTTAGTTTAAAAAGTGAAGTGAGATGAAAACATTTCACCCTCGAGTAAATTAAGATCCAGATGGAAAATAGGTTTAATTTAGTTGTTGTTTGAGGATTTAATGTGGATTTTTACTTCCAGTTACTTCACTTGTTTACATTTACAGCCAAGCACTGCAAAAACAGAATCTGACCAAGTATGTTTGGTCTAGTTTCAAATATTTAATACATTTGAAATCAGACAAAAACAACTAACTTTTCAATAAAATATAGCAGCTTGTTTTTAGTCAATAATTGCTTAATATTGATTAAAAACACAAAATTGTACCAAGTGTGTTTGGTCTACTTTCCACTAAAATACCTTGAAATAAGACGAACAAGTAACTTTTTAGCAAAATACTGGAGTCTGATTTAGGTCAGTAAATCCTTAATATTCATAACTAGCAAATTATTTAACTTACGATAATTTTTTTAAATAATCTGCTAATGAACTTTTTCATCAATATTAAGTATTTATTGACTAAACAACCGACTATATCTTGCTGAAAAGTTACATAAGCTAGTTTTGTCTCATTTGAAATGTCATAACATATTAGCAGGAGAAACCAGACTAAAAATACTCAGTTAGATTTAGTTTTTTTTGCAGTGTACAGACAGTGGCTTCACTTCCTCTTTCAGCCAACTGTGTTGCTAGCTAACTGACTGCAGGGAATTGATTAAAATATAATGTTGTATTGATTAGTTTGTGATCTCAGGCTTCCATTTTTCCCAGTAAAAAATTATTCTATTGGGTCAGAAAATCTTTTTGTTTTTGGCATCTTTTACAGTGATTGTCATCAGATGGAAAATCTCACATAAAACAAAAAGTTACATTTGTCGTCCGAGCAGAAATACTAAGACATGTTTCGATTCCAGCACTCAAAATACAAGGCATTCACACACAAACCTACAAACATAATGATGTACATCAAAATAATAACGTCCAATCAAGCCTGGACGCCTCAGAGCTGAAATTGTTAAACTGTGTTGAAAACCATTCCAACAACCAGCAGCAGGAGATGCGAGTTTGGAAACAGAAAAATTAAAGTCTCAGTAAAAAACACAAGAAATGTCTCAATTTTGGGATTTGGCTTTACTAGTTTTCTGTTTAAAACGATTGCACATTTTTGCAGCAAACCTGGAAAATTTACCCATCTGTATTCAGACTTTAAAAGTTTCTTCCTTTTCCTCTTGGTTTTACAACATTCAGGTAAACGGAGAGAGTTAGAAAACCCACAAGACTCTCTGGTTATGTCACAATATCATCTTCTGAGTAAAATAACACAAAATGTCTTTCAATGCTTTAAAACTTCAGTCTGAACTGAACTTGGAAAGACAATTTTTCAGTTTTCTGCTCCATCTTCTTGGAACTGAAAGGAGCTACTGTGACTAAATGTTTTTAAAATATTTACATATTACTCCTTCTGAAAAATTAGTAATCTGTAAATGTTTTAATTAAGGAATCTTAACTAATTTATTTCTGAGTGTATTAACTTTTTCTGTTTTGTAAACAAGATATTTTCAACCTCAATGGGATTTTCCTGCTGAAACAGATTAATTTGAGTGTCCGAGAAACAAAAATGCTCTTCTCTGATATGAAAGGAAGTTGAACTGCTGTCATTTTGACAGGACAAACTGCAGCAGGATGAGGCAGAAACAGCTGAGAAAATAAGCAGGACTCACCGAGCGCAGATCACTTCTGGTTTCATTCCAACCGCTGGAAATCAGGAGCCAGTCTGCAGGCCACACAAAGACTTTACATTCTCTCCACCTGTTTAATATCCGGCAGGTTTTACTGATAAACAACGGGTAACGTTACGTCTGATGTGCATTAAAGGTGAAGGTTACTGACCTTTAGCCAGAGCCGTCTCTCCCGCTGTGAGCAAATCCACGATTGTCGCCCTGCAGCCGGTCCGATCCAATCCTCCGTAGTTAGTAATCCTGCAGCACAATGATTTCGTATGAACGCTGCCCCTTCCTCCTCAGCTTCATCGTGGCTCCAGACTCCGGAGGCGAGGGGTTTCCGTCTGCAGCGGGACAACAGGTGAGAGGGAATCAGGAGATGTTCTGCTCCTCTCCTCTCCTCAGCTTGTCTGCTAAGACTACACTTGTTTTGCTGCTCTTTACAAAAACACACAAACTCACACACATACTGAGGAACATTTTTTTTCTTCCTTTTGGTTTTGTTTTGTGTTTTTTTTTTTTTCTAGCGGTGGAGCTAACCCTGAGCCGGGCCCGGTCTGCCTTTGAGATGCTCTCTAGCCCACAAACACAAGGCGGCTTTCATTATCTTGCCCGTCGCAGCGCAAGGCCTAGCTTCTAAAAGCTACTGATTTCTTTCTTCCTTTAGCCCCCTGCACAAAGGGAGGGCATTTTGTAAATTACTTGCTCGTTTCAGACCAACAAAAGGTACTTTCATTGAACCCTCCTCCCCCCCACTGCTCTCCTTCTTTCCTCCCGCCATTTGATTTTGCTCAAATTTGATTACAAGGCTTGAAAAAGGAGGAGAAGAAAAGAGAAGAGGAAATAAGAAAGCTCCACAGATGGCGTGCTCATTCACTGCTGTGAATGGCTTTATATGGGCTGCCTTTATACGTGTGGCAATCCAAAGACGCTTCAGCCGCTCGGCTAAAAAAAGAACTTGACAAAATTATTGGTTTGGCGGCTTTCTTACACGGCTGAGATGGAGAACTCTGAAAGAAGCGCCCGCTTCCTTTATCTCCTCCGTTCTTGTCTCGATGCCTCACAGCGTTGATCACCTTGATTGAAACAAACCGCAAAATGTTTCTGGTTCTAAGAGAAACCGTGTTAATATTCACCTGATCCGCTGCTACTGGGGTCAGATATTTAGCAGCAATAAACACTTAGCAGCAATAAACACACACACCAGAGAAGGGAAAAATATACTCAAGTAAAAGTATCTCTACTTTGACATTTTTACTCAAATAAAAGTACAAATTAGAGATACAAGAAATTACTAAAGTAAAAAAATAGTTGACTCCAGTCTAGAGTCTCAGATCAAATTGTCAATCATTTCATATTTAAAAATTCCATCATCAGATGAATTAAAATGTAAAACTATGTGGAAATATTGGTATTTTAAGAATCAAATGACAATAATTTATGTAAATAGCAAAATGAGGCAAAACAAATCAGTTTCTCTCAATAAAAAATTTATAAAGCTTTAACAATAACTGCAGGTGTGTCTGTATGGTGAATCTTTTCGGTTAAAACATATTTGTTTTTCATTTAGTCACTAAAGAATCCAGAAGTTTTACTCAACTAAGAGAAAAAATACTTCATAATAAAATTACTCAGAGTACAGAGTACTAAAAATACTCCTAAAAGTATTTTTTTTTCAAAAAAGTTACTCAAGTAAATGTACCTAGTTACTACCCGACACACACACACACACACACACACACACACACACACACACACACACACACACACACACACACACACACACACACACACTCCTCAAATCAGACTGACTGCTACAAGACAGCGTTTACAGGCTGATACTCTTCATGCAGCACTTATTTTCCACTGGAGGATTACAGGCTGCTAGAGGAAAATGCACCCCCCCCCCCCACACACACACACACACAGAGCAAAGCAAACTATGACTTGTTATCCCATTATCACATCATCCCACCTGACAGAGTGCAGAAATGGAGAAATAGTGGGTCCTTGCATGGTCACAGCGGCTAAAAGTCTAATGGGAAAGGGTCAGTTAAATTCTGGTGCTACATCATGTCGAGGTCAGAGGTCGGACCGATCCATCAGCGAGGTAAAAATGTCAGCCATAACTCAGGCTGAGCGGAAAGAAAACTATTTTTCTTCTTTAAGGGTCACTAAAAAGCTGCAGCATGATTTTTATTTTTAGGTTTTTTACATAGTTGTTGAAATTGTCACCAGTTTGTTATGACTCAGAATAGATTGTGAATAGAATGCGAATAGATTGATTCCCATCTCCTCTCTCAAGAAATGTGCCAAAAACAACCAATCAGAGCCAGGAGGCGGGGCTTAGCGCTGCCAATCAACTGTATGCTGCTAACCATGATAAAGGTGGAGAAATAACAGCTACAGGAAAACCATTTATCAGCCATCATTGATTTCTATGCTAACTAGCTTAGCAATCGCAACACTTGTGACTGAAAACCCAACTTCTGGTTCTAGTTAGTACTGGGAGAAGATGTGGGAACGCTTTTCTTCAGATTATCAGACACGTCGCCCGAGGAAAGAAAGCAAGAACATATTCTAACTAAATTATTTATAATTAGGCTAAGACCATTATGTACAACTCAGAGTTTACCACTTGCCCTGATGGCTACATGATCATTTTTCCGCTAATTGTGACCAAAATACGTAGAAATTATTTCATTTTTCCTCTGCTAAATTAGATTTCTGTGTTTTTTATTTTTATTTTAAAATCTATCTTTAGGGGAAACCTAAGCCCTGTTTGTATTACAGGTCTTAACGCACCCAGAGCTGATCTTACATTTAGCATAATTTATATTCCTAGTCAGAAATGTTACATCTGAAGTTTGGGACATTTTTCCAATATGGCCGCCGCAAAAGCACCAATATGTGGTGGAAACATGTTTTTTTTACAACACAAACAAGTAAAAGTGAGTCTAAAAATCGACCTATAAACTGAACAAATAAAAAGTGGTGATCTATTACGGAAAGTAAAGCTTAAAATTATGCTTTTTAACGGCATTGCAAACGATGTTTATGGGAGCCGCCATTTTGAAATTCTGACCTGTTAACTCTCGGTCCGTTACCTCTGTGCTGACGTCACATCCAGCTCCGAGATTCCGCCTCTCAGGTAAATGAAACGCAACATACTGACGAGTCTTTCTGACAAGATGGCGGCTGATTACAAACACGGTTCACCTGGGAGAGAAGAGAGACAGGTGGACTTTGTCTTCTTCTTTTTTGTTATGCCGGATCGCAAACAACTTTAAGATGCTCACCGCCACCTAGTGGACACGAGGGTGTAGCAACAGTACCTCACATCCATTAAATTCTATTTCTTAATCTGGAATAATCTCAGAGGAAGTAAAACACAAATATATAGAAAAATAACACAAGAAACTATTAACATAAAGGAGTGGACAGGTATGGTAACACCCTACAGGTAATGATAATTAACCAATACGGCAAGTCCTTTTGAAAATAAATGCAACACAAGGAAAAGCTAAAAATACAAAAGAAAACCAAAATTGATTCTATTTGTTTTTAAAATAAACCAAAGTAGGAAATAAAATAAAACTCCAAGAAGCTCCCAAAGCAACTAATGGCCATTTTATTTCTACTCACCTTTACACCTGTTAGACCTGACTGCATGTCTTTCTACAGATTATGTATTTTTATATTTTATATATATAAATATATATTAGTTTTATGAGAAAAAAATTATTTTGTCATTACTGATGAGGGCAGAGATTTCCCTCTGTGTGCAGAGGACATTCATATTAAGAAGCTGATTCCCCCATCCCCAAACCTGAAGTAATTATTGTCTCAAGATAAAAAATGGAAAGCATGGGTTATTTTTGAAGGATAAAATAAACCAGAGATAGAAATGACCTTAATATTATTTCTCTCTCCAGGCATTTCCAGTGCGAGTGCGCCATCGGAGGGTTTGATAAAAGGATTAGGTGGTCAGCTTTACGTGGCTGCAGTCGAATCTGGATGTGGAGGGAGAGCTGATTGAATAATTCTTGTTTCCTTTCTGCCAGCATTGCACTCTTCTTTGGGAAAAGTAAAAATCAGCATTATGCCAGATTTGTAAATGCGCTCTGTGTGTCTGTAGATTCCCGTCTGTGTGACCAGCTGCCTGGAAATCTCAGCCTGTGGAAAACCCAGCGCTTGTGTTTCTTCGTTGTTGTAAAACTTAACATGCTCACCTTCATTTTCCAGGATTTTGAAATATTAATTTATGGTGCTTTGCAAAGGATTCACCGTCTCATTCCTTCAGTTTTGTCAAGTTGAAACTAACATTTTTCAGAGGATTGGCTGGTTGAAACAAAGTAATATATTTAAATATGTATAAATATAAAACATGTCTCATGCAGACAACTGACTGAAGTTAATCAAACCTGAGTGAAGTTTCTCCTCCATCTTCTTCTACTAAAATAAGATTGGTCTAAAACCATTTTTGTTTATGCCACAAAAATATTCAGTATCATCTGAAAGATAAAAACAACCAGAGGTCATGAAAGGCCAACCAGCTGCTCCATCCCCACGCTTTTATGAAATCCAACAAAATTCATATCAACTCTGAAAGTTTGTACTGATAAAATTTTAATTTTATTGGTTCCAATACTACAGAAAGTTATTTTTGCTGGTTTTTGTTAATGTGAGGAGCTGGTTGGTTCTCTGAAAACCTTGTAGCAGAACAAGCGAAAGGTTTTGCTGCACAAACATAGAGTTAATCAATCATCATCATTATTGTGATTTGTCATTTTACTAAGATGTCTATTTAGTATTAATTTGATGCTCAGATGTCAGTAATTCGTTGTGATCATCTGCTTGTATAAAGTCATTTGATTTGGAGAAATAACCAACATAAAATGGAAAAGTAAAAAAACGAAACCAACTTTACACTATATTTTCTGCTTCAGACACTATTTAATTTTGATTTCCAAAATTGGAATTCAAAGAAGAAAGTGCTGATTTGTATTTAGAACAAGCACATGCTAACAGCAGGCATGACAGAGAAATGTTTTCAAACTCATACCCACCCGTCATGCAAACAGCATGTTTTTTAGTCGAGAGCTGTCGATCTGCAAGTAAAGCTCGGTGTGAACGGATCCGTGGCTCGGTGTGAACGGATCCGTGGTTCGGTGTGAACGGATCCGTGGTTCGGTGTGAACGGATCCGTGGTTCGGTGTGAACGGATCCGTGGTTCGGTGTGAACGGATCCGTGGCTCGGTGTGAACGGATCCGTGGTTCGGTGTGAACGGATCCGTGGCTCGGTGTGAACGGATCCGTGGTTTGGCGTTCCAAGCCTAAAAACTGTTTTCACACCTGATAGTTTGGTAGACTCCGTTCAATTGGGACCAAAATTGCAGCATTTGTTAATTTTCAGCTACTTCTCTTTCACACTGCAATGAGTTGAACTAGCCAAACAAATTGAAAAGCAGTTTCCCTCCTCGCCTGTGGGGGGCGCCGCATGCACTACAGAAGGAATCGACACAAAAACCTCTGAACACAAAATGTAAAAAAAAAAAAAGAGTCGCATGAGATTTTAGAGGTTAAAAGATTTCTTAAGGTGCATTCACACCAGTCCTGTTTCGTCCTCTTTAACTGAACTCCAATTCATTTGCGTAAAAAGTTCGGTTCATTTGTGGAAGCGTGAATCGAACTCTGACTCAGACCAAAAAAGCCCAATTCTGGCTCACCTTCAAATCTAAGTCTCAGTTCGGTTGAAATGAACTCTTTAGTGTTCTGAATGCATATTCAGAAGACCACTCTAAAAGCAGGAAGTGGACTACAGCACAGGGGATTCTGGGTAAATACAACCAAAACAAACGTGCTAGTCCAGCGCTAGCAGGAGAAATGTCTCGTATTTTTTTTTTACCAAAGGCAAAAGAGAAATCCTGCACCCACTAAAATCCATTTTTGTTTACATTTTGTGAAGAAGGAAGTTGCACTCGATGTCTTCACAGGTTTTCTTTGTCGGATCCTGCAGTAGTTCTCGGTGCAGCGCCCCCACAGGCGAGGAGGGGAACTGGGTTTGACACAGTAAA